CCTTCCTCTTCTTTCTACTTACTGGGAAAAAATTAGAACATATAGCTGAAGCTGGAAGAGCCATAGGCGATCCTGATACGGAAGTCATGTGCTGAAGATAGCAGAGAAGCCTGAGTCCCTGATGACTGCGGAGCAGCCAGGCCAACCCTAAACTTTTAGGAAATACATGCTTTGTTGATGCTTCTATTGCTCTGCCTCTCTGTCCAGCAGCAGAACCCATAACCTAACTAATAAAGCTTTGCCAACAGCGCTGAGGACCACGTCCAAAGCTGCAAAGCCTCCTCAGTTGTTCAGAGTCAACAAATCTATAATATTTATTAAGCATCTACTATATATAAAGTCTGCCAAGAGTATCTTTACAGCCTCCTGGGAGATGTGCCCCATACCATTTTTGAAACACCAGTATATTGATATAGAATGCAAAAAGGTATATTCAGTAAAGGCAAAATGGAAAGAAATAAGACATGTTTAACTGAGATCATGAAAGAGACAGGGAAACGTCCATATTTGCTGGCAAATAATAATCTAAGCTGAAAGGAGGCCACGAGGCATGCTGCATTGCGAGTAGGTGAGAGAGTGAGGTCAAAGGTCCAGGGGTGCAGGTCACTACCGTCCCTTCCCTCCCAGAGAGAAGGTGACATAAGGAAACCACAAGGAGTGACCCCAGTGAGCTCCCAGGCCCGGGGGGGGGGGGAGTTGACTGAAGCATTGGTCAGCATGAGATCTGGCCCAGCAGAACTAGAGGAGGGGCTGCTCTGGACTAAACAGATGCTCCCAAGGGGCCCTTTCGCACTGACACTCTGCTCTGGTTTGGAGGGCTGAGGTGGGGGAGGACTGGGAAGAAAGAAATGAATTCAGAGAGACAGGCGTCATGCGGTGCTGAGGGAGCAGACCAAATGTTCAGAGTGGGGAGCAGAGAGTGTCTGGAGTAGGAGTACAATGTCTAGACCCCCTGCCATTGCCGGAGAGAAAGGAAATGAATGTGGCTTAATTATAATGACAGGATGACAGCAATGACATTACGAGCAGAGGATCAGAAAAGTGCAAATCCCGTTTAAGGAAATGGGAGCTGTCTCTCTTCACCGTCACATTCGTCACACTCTCCCTGGAGAGCTCTCCACGACAGATTCGTGTCCCTGACCTGAGACTGTGACCTCCCAAAAGAAGGAGCTCTTCCTCCTAACAGTCCCTCCTTCCTTAAGGGACCCCTCAGAGGTCTGGGAAAGGTTCAGCCCACAGCGAGGGCTCCATCTCCGGACCTTAGTCACTGGCTGGTGACAGGGCTTGTCTCTGTCCTCCCCACAGCTCCCACCGCATCAGACCTCGGACTCTCTAAGAGTGTCACTCACAGTGGTAGTCTCTGAATCCTCAGCACATAGTTGATCTATTGGGGAGGCACTTAGTAGGTGCCCGTTGAAAGGTTGACGTCCCTTCCCACATGTCACAGAGAGGGCCACATGTCACATGTGCTTCTCTCAGCATCACCAACACACAGGAGGTGTGCAAAAAGGCGTGAGGGGTCCACTCACCACACCTCGGAGTGAGCCTCAGGAGACCTCCAGGGACTCACGTGAGCAGGGCAGGGAGATGGAGGCAGGGGCTGGCTTGCCCCTGGGCCAGGCCAAGATTCCAGAACGGAAGTTTGACATAAAACCAGGCAGCTGGAGACATTATAGATCACCCACACCCACAGCTATTCACAAATACTCACTTTAGCCAACAGTTTTCACCTCTTCCTATTGCAATTTTTATCAGAACTGAGAAAGGTGGGCAAAATTGAAAATACTTAGTTTTCCTGCTTCTTGGCATCCTCTGGGGAATCAGCAGAGTTATAATGAGCTAGTCAGTGCCCCCAAGGGCAGAGAGGAGAAGCAACAGAAGGCTTCTGGGCAATCTGTAGTACAGCGAATACACTGCAATAGAATAGCAAGCAATACTATTACGGATGCATGTAAAACTCAATGTCAAGAGGAAAAAGTCACAAGGTAGCCAGTACTTCAAAAGCCCACTGGCTTTGTACTTCCCTACGCCCCTTAAGGAATGCTGCACCTGACCACTGGGATACCCAGGGAGAAAGAAGCACTGACCCCTCGCCATAAATGCAGGCTGTTGTCAATGCTCCCTGTCGCCAGAGATGCCAATTCCAGGGTCAGTCCAATCCCTTGAGCCATGCGGTAAGGATATAAGTGTGCACGGTTGCACCCATAGGCAAAGCAAGATAAAAAAGATCCCCACAAATCTAATAAGACATCAGCACTTATCCTGAACAAAGGTTGTGGGGAATGTGAGTTTAAAAAGATAATTGCCACCGCATTACACAGAATGCAATACTATGTTGTTAGTACAAGAATTTGTCAGACACGTCACACAGGAAGTGGAACAGCTGCAACTGTGACAGGCTGCTGCAAAAGGGCTGGTTTCTCAAGCACCTGGTCCCTGAGTCCGTGCCACATCTTGTTCTTAAATTAAAAGAACAACACCACCAAACAAGCATACAAAAAGTTTCCAGTGCAGAACTGCCAGCTTGTTGAGAATTTTCAGTGTTCATAAGTCGGTGTGGACAGGCTAATGGACTCTGTTTTCAGACCACACCTACACAGGTGGGCTTCGTGGGAAGAACCAGGACTATGTTGGGTCGTCGGGAAAGTCATGACATACTTTTCTATGTTTTTCAATGCAAAAACATGTCATGACTTTCCCGACGACCCAATAATTTGGAGGGGCCTGGATCCTAATCCCGTCTGTCCTGCTTACCAGCCCCATGTTCCTGGGAAACTGAGTTAACTTCTCTGAGCTTCCATTCCCCATAAAATGGAGATAATAATCTCTCAGGTACAGAATTCCTGCGATCAGTAGAAATCGTGTGTAGAGCACTTACACAGAGAGTAACAAATAACAAGTGTTCAGGAAATGGTGTTACCGTTCATCAGACTTGCCTACCTAACCATCATCAGACCTGGCTGCACAATGCAGTGGATTACACTTTATGTAAAGAAATGGAAACCTCACCCAACTCTGAGAAGGTGGGGAGAGAAAGAGGTGATAATAATTATTTGAGATTTTCCTCAGAGACTGTACCCAGGAGATATGATCTCCATAGAAGAATGGTTTAGGAAAAACAGTTTATCCTTATTATATGCCACCATAACTGTTTTCTTTTTTTTCTTTTCTGTCAGATAGAAAGTTGCAAGGAAGTCTGCCTGCATTTGAAAGCCCTTGGGGAGCCCATAAATTGGCACTCATTTTCTAACTGACCACTCTTAGCAAATTTTCTATAATGGACGTAATAAGGTATTTCGATTGACAAGTGTCTCATCTTCCCCCCTAAAAGACAGAAATTGTGCCCTGAGCACAGCGTACCTATCTGGTTGTTTACTGGGTGCCCCAAGGCTCAAAAAATGCTGCAAGCACTGCCTAGAAAACTGATGTTATTAAGGCTGAAATAGTTCTAGAAAAGCAAAGGTCTTAAATACTTTTACATGACACGAGAAAGCACCTCGAGTTCTAATTAAACTAAAGCAATTAGCCACCTACAGATACTTAACACTGTCTCCTATGGTCAGGCAATCATCTCTATTAAAACCCATTTTAAAGTAAGGCGCAAACCCTAAAGCTCCATTGGCACACACTTCCCACAAATCAATTACCCCTTAGACACATTCAGCAAAATGCTCAGAGGCAAGCTCTGTGCCCTGCAGAGGGGACTTTTGTGAAAGGACTACATCAGACATGGTGAGGTAGTTGCAAAAAAGAGGAGGCTGACAGTAACTGTGACAATTTGGGGTAACAAGATCCATTCTCAGAGGGGGACGCTGGATCTCTCTGGTGGGTTGGACAAATCAAGACAAACTGAAGCCTCAGGTTTCCCTGGTCTTAGAACTCCCTGCTTGGTACAATTGATGCATCAACTCCACCCTGAGGACCACATCAGGCAAAAGAGTTGCTGCCGACTAGAACCAGAATCCAGCTTCATCATGTCCAAACTGATGTTTCACGGGGAGGCTGTCCTCTCCCATGTCATAATTTGTCACTGAAGTGCCAACAGGGTACACGTGACAGGTTCATAGTCCAGTCCATTCAAGTTCATGTGCTTCCCCAGTGCAGTTAGGTACAACTCCTCCCCTAGGACTCCCTTTAGTGAAGAGAGTCCATTGTCTCCAGCCCACCAATGTTTCCAGGACTGGCAATAGCAACAGCTACACAATGGTTAATAGGTAAGTGATTGAGTACCTTGCTCAAGAACTAGGGCTGTTTTTGTTTTTCAGTCCAGTCAAGTTAATCCAATAACCCATTACTTCTCAACTGAGTAATAGCCTTTTTTTTTCCTGTGGCTTTTGGGGGGTTTTTTTGTTTTTGTTTTTATTTGGAACACTTCTCAACCATTAAGCAAACATCAAAAATGTTGATCTAGGCTTGTCTAGTTGATCTAGTGCTGTCCAATAGAAATAAGATTTAAAATATTTCTAGGAGCCACATTTTTTTAAAAAAAAGCAAAAAGAAATATGAAATTAATTATAATAGGCTATTTCATTTAAGCCACTAGTAAAACAATTTTCATTTTAACATATAATCAACATGAAAGATAATGAGATATTTCACATTCTTTTTTCATACATTCTTTTTCTGGTACCATGTTAGCTACACAGATCTAGGGCTATATCTAAATTGACATGAAAAGACTTCCACAAGTTACTGCTCTATGAACGAGCGGTTTACCAAACTGTACGTGTAGCATGATCTCATTTTAACTTTATAAAAACCTGTATCCATGTGTTCAGATATGGATAGAAAACAATCTGTGAGGAAGAGACGAGAAAGTAATAGCAGTTGTCTCTGAGAGGCAGAATAATGGATGGTTTTTATTTTCTACTTTGTGCTTTTAATAGCATTTTCTAAATTTCTTTGCAGTAAACATGCACTTCTTTAATTATCAGGAAAACTATAAAGTTCGACTTTTAAAAATAAAATCTCTCCCTTAGTTTAAGTTCTTACACCCCTGATCCTGTGGCACCACAGCCATGACTCTACTTCCAGCTAATAGAAGAAATCGACCCCTGCCACGCCCCCTCGGTCCAACCCCAGCAACTGCCGTACTTACAGCCAATCATCATAATGGCCACTGCAAAGATCTTCTCGATGTCCGTGGAGGGGGCGATGTTCCCAAAGCCCACGCTGGTGAGGCTGGTCATGGTGAAATACAACGACGAGATGTAGACGGAATTCTTGCTGGGGCCACCTTCCCACTTCCCGGAGCCAGACCCATTGAACTGGTAAGGGGTGCCAATGTCCATCGCCAGCTGGTACAGCCAGCTGTTGTTGCGGATGGTCTTGGTATCCTCGTCGAAGATCTCATAGTCCCCGATGCTGTACCAAATGCAGGCCATCCAGTGAGCAGCCAGCCCGAACACACACACCAGCAGGACCAGCACGGCAGCTCCGTATTCGATGTAGTGGTCCAGCTTACGGGCCACGCGCCCCAGGCGCAGCAGCCGGACGACTTTCAGAGAGCTGAACAGGCTGCTGATGCCCTGGGAGGAGAGGAGCACAGCATCAGGGCCTAGAAGCAAAAGGACGACTGCTTCCCTCTTCCCGCCGGGGCTGTTTCTTTCAGCACAGTGCATTTCCACGAGATGCAAAGCTATGCAACCCTTAAAAAAACTGTTTTAAAATAAGGCATGATATGGGAACATGCTCATATGTATCTGTATATGTATGCACTATATAATTAGAATTTTATTCTAAGGTGTATGGGAGATTTCCATTGAAAAGCCAATAAAAAAAACAAAACAAACAAGCCAAATAAAATTAGAATTTTAATCTAATTATATTGTGCATGATTATGCAAATATATACGAGTATGAGCATTTTTCCATATCAGGGCTTACTTTAAAACAATTTTAAGGATTGTGTAATATTTCATATTAAGTAATATGAAATATTTTAAGAGTTGCATAGTATTTATTTCATATTGTATAATATTTCATTCTAATTATATTGTGCATAAGTATACAAAAATTCATGTATTGAAAAATGGTCAACATTAACAGTGTTTATGGCTGCACTGTCAAGTTTTAGAATTACAGGCAATTTTTTGCTATATTTTTGTATATTTTTGTTACACTTGTATATATTTACTTAATCTCTGTAATTAAAATGATTACTTTTACAATTAGAAAAAATATATTTAAAAAGTAAACACAGCTTTTAAAAAAGATAAAAATGAATTAAAGAAACAGCTGAGAAGAACTGAGATTCTGTTCCAAACCCTTGGAAGGTTACATGGCGACTGTTAGGCCAGGGATTATACAATCAGACGTCATATGCTTAAACATAATCAATTAAGGAAGCTCAGAGCTATTGTAGAAGGAACCTCCTGATTCCATCTGGTCAAGCCTCCTCCCTTCTATTGGCGTCTGCTGATCTCACCAGGAAAGGTCTATTCTCCAAATAGTAGTTCTCTAGGGAATAGCACTGTGGTAGTGGAAAGGACATCAGACTAGAAATGTGGAAAATGGGGTCTGAGACTAACTTGCTATGCGAATTTGGACGATTCAGTTATCCCTCAGTTCCCTCGTCTACACAATGAGGGAGGTGGACTAGAGGGTCTCCAAATCTCCAAATACTAATCTACTCTTACCTCCTGAAACATTACAGAAGCCACACCATTCAAAACTCCTATCCCACATGATTCCATGGTGTAGAGGATTCCATAGAGGGAGGTTTCTGTTAGCTTTTCCTACTTCCATTAAAAAGCAAATAAACGAGCAAACGAAATAGAGACACTTCTTTGACTCAAGACTTCAGTCTCCCTTACACAGCAAAAGTCCTACAGCAGAGTGATGCCCTTCACCAAGCAGAGTGAACGACTTCTCACTCTTCGAAACACTGGACAGTTCCCAGGTCACTGCTATTCTCTCTTGTTCCCTGTATCCTTAATGACAACCACCAAGGGTCAGGTTGTGTCCCAGACAGAAGGAAAACACGTAAATGATTTTAGAGTCTCACCTTGGCTGCTTTCTCTTCCTGGGCACACAGCTAAACTACATTTCCCAGACTCTTTCACATCTGGGTGGGTCTCTAGGACTAGTTCTCACCAATGAAATGTGGGGTGAGGTGTGTCACTTCAGGCCAAGACGGCTAAATGTAAGTGTACTTTCTCTACATACTTTCTCTGCCCCCTGGCATGCCTTCCAGCTGAGGCTAGTGTGACCTTGAGGCCAAGAACCGAAGAAGGCGGATGTACAGCATGGGAGGAGCCTGGATCCCTGAAAGACTATGTGAAACACCCTCTCCCCTCCCTGGTCAGCTTGAATCCTATTGTGATGTGAATGAAAAAAGAAACTTCTGAAATAAGCCAGTGAAATTTTTAGTGATATTTGTTACAGTAGCTATCATTAGCCTTGCTGACAAGTGAGCTCACAAACCCTATGTACAATAGCACGGCCTTGTCAAGAAAGGCCACAGATTACTTTTGTTGCGATGGCAGTGGGAGAGGTGAGATTTATGGCTCTTTTGGAAAAAGAAAACAAATAAACAACAGTTTTCTAGCCATAAAACTTACAACAGAAACAATCATTTCTTGTCCAACATATACCAGCAAATGGATAATCATGGATTTTTCCAGACCAAGGGACTACATCCTCAGGGTCAGTTCATCCAAACTGCTAACCTTGACAAAATTTACCTTTGCAAGCCCAGTCCTCCTCCCCAGGTCCCCTGTTCCCTTCATGTGCTTTTCTCAAAAACCTTTTTCAGCCTGCAGAAAAGGCTGAGAAAATCCCTCATGTTCAGGTCCAAAAGACCGATGAGGGTAAATGGATATCCTCTCTCCATAGGGCTTTTGCCTCTGAACAGAGGAAAACTAACTTTCAACAGTGGAATTAAAAGCACCAACAGCCTGGATGAAGGAGATTATTTTGGGAGGCAAAGGAGACTTTTTTTGATGACTCAGAAATCAAACACATACAAGCAGCCACCTCCTCTCCACCTCCTCATAAGGAGATTCCTGAAATCATCTTCCAAAGCAGTTCTACTCTGAAGCAGAAACGATTACCTAGAGCAAAAGTGCCGTGTCATTTTTCCTCTCTCATGTTCGACTCAAAGCAACATTTATGAAGAACCTACTATGTACTCCTTTGTGCTAATGCTACAGGGAAGAGATTAAAACGATTCTGTCTTTGTCTTCTTGCTCACTATTGCATCTTCAGTGCCTGGAAGATGCTTGGCAGGAAGAAAAGAGGGAGGAAGCAAAAGTATAATAACTGGTGAGGGAGGCAAGATGTATTTCTACCTAATAGTCACAGAGCTTGACAGCTGAAAGGCAGCAGAGACGTCATCGAGTCCAGCTCCTGTGAGTCCAGCAGGGTCTTCTAGAGCTCCCGTAAGGAAAGGTCATTCAGCCTTTCCTGGATCTCTCCGCTTAACTGCTACCTCAAAGATCCCATTGTGTGGCAGTCATTCACGGAGATGAATGACTGGGCCTCTCTTACCTTTCTTATCCCCCTTCTGCTGCACCTGCACTTTACCCCTCCTCCCTTCTGCATCCCTTCACAATGGCCAACACAACACAAGCAACCCTACCCAAGGGCCATGCTACCCTCTAACCGTACACGCTGGTCTTGAGCATCCCACACACTGGATGCACATTTGCATCTCTGTGCCTGCTCAGACTGGTTCCTCAGCCCAGAACATCCAGCTTGCCTATTTCTGCCAGCTGGTAGCTAGTTATCCTTCAGGCCTGCCACTACTACCCTTTAAGCCTGCCACTACCTCCAGCCTAACCCTAACCCTAACCATGACTACCCTGTGGTCACAATCACTCACTCTACAATCCGTCCGTGGTAATCTGTATCCATTACCTCTTGAACACATTGTTTTACATTATACTTTCCTATAGCCATTTCCCCAACCACATCAGGAACTACAATGTCTTGAAGACAGATGCCTCCTATATTGGATTGAATAGTTTCCCCCGAAATTCATGTCTTTTCCAGAACCTCAGAATGGGACCTTATTTAGAAATAGGGTCATTGCAAGTATAGTTAGTGAAAAGGAGGTCATACAGTGGGTCCTTAATCCAATATGACTGGCATCCTTATAATAAGAGGAGAAGAGACAGACACAGAGAGAACACCATGTGACCAATACCGCAATTGGAGTGATGTAATTCAAGTCAAGGAATGCCTTCCAGGCAACACCGGAAGCTAAGAGAAAGGCATGGCACAGATTCTCTCCTAGAGCCTTCAGAGGGAATATGGCCCTGCTGACACCTTGATTTCAGATTGCTAGATTCCAGAACTGTGAAACAATAAATTTCTCTCATGCTAAGCCACCCAGACTGTGGTAATAGGTCACGGAGCCCTAGGAAGCGAATACACCTACACAGGGTCTAAAGCCAGTGTCTTTTCAGAAAGGGTCTCAAACATTTTCTAAATTACATCAAAGAGTTTGAATGATTAGAAAATTTTCTTCTCATTTTAAGGAGCTTTGGAACTATATGAAATAAGCACTTCCTCATTGTGTTATCTGTGTATACACAGATACGCTGTTACACAGTCTTGCATAAGTTCTCTCTTATGGCACTAACAGCTGGAATTCTGGCTGTTAAAAAGCATTTCAAGCTATTCATTATTTTTTTCTTATTTTCCTGAAGTTTGGTAGATGCAATAAATAAAACCAAATACTCCAAACATTTTATTTTTAAATTTTAGTATGCTAAAAACACAATAGCACCATATGGTAGAGAATCATATTTTCCCAGGGACTTCTCGAAACAGAAAACCTGTCTCACAATTTGAAATAGCTCTGGAGGGTTCTTTATCACAGCCTGAAAATTAAGAAGAATCAAGAATTTCAGGATGAGTCAACACGGATGAAGGGACTGTGAGAGGCTGTGCTGGTGGGCTCATCACTCAAGGCCAACAACTCTGACCAGAAAGACGCCTTCTGGAATCTAAAAAACCTCAGTTGTAGTGATATTGACACAACTCAAATGGAAACGGACATTTGGTAATTATCAGAAGCATTTGTGTGTCAACTATCAAGTTTGACCTATTCATCCAGACTAAATTAATCATTCCGTTAATGTGGGCTACACCTGACCTTCTCAACTAGTCAGATTCAACAATTTTCTGCTCAATTTTTTTTTCTGCCATAGTCATGGAACTACCACTGTCACAGACTGATGACAATAACTACTCAGTCTTTCAGGCTCTTGAATAGCTCCCCCAGGCTTCCAGGTCTGTGGGTGACATGACGTCATCCACAGCAAATGCTGCAGCTAAACTTTATCATTTTTCTAAATGGCTTTCAACCTTGCATCTCTCATGATTACTCTTCTGCATCCTCCTCCAGCTAAATGCCTCCTCCGCATGCTTCCCTCTGAGTCCTCTGGAGTCCATCTTCATGGGGAGAGAAATTCCCAGCCTCAACATCTTCATGGGCTGTTCCCACCACCTCCCTGTGTTAGTTGAAATCTAGTTCTACCAACACCTTGCTTTCCCCCTTACATCCTGCTGTTAGTAGGGAG